AGAAGCGATGCAGATAATAGGATTCGTTGAGCTTGAGACGTCGCTCTTTCGCTTTTGCGGTAAGACTTTCCCACGACTGCAAGATCTCGGCGCGTTTAGCTTGAATCTGCTTGGAGTGGTCGGCTTCATGTATGGCGGCGAGACGATCGGCTTCTGCGCCCAGTGTATATACTTTATCTTCTAAAGCAGCCAAATCGCGTTCGATACCTTCGTGCTTTCGTTGTAACGTCTGGACACTGGCGAGATCTCGACCGAAATCATCAGACGATAGAACAACATCCTTCTCCGCGATCCAAGCCATGGTTTCATCGGCGTCGCGATTGAATCTCTGAATCTCGTGAGCCCCGAAGAGCTTCTCCTGTCGTAGAGTGGCCAATTGCTTTAGTCTTTGCCAAGATTCGTTGAGTTCTTCCTTTCTGCGTAGAATGGTATCGCGTTCGGGATGTCCATCTAACAGCAATTTATCTGCCAGCTCGTTCACCTCTGTGACTCTGTACTCCTGACTGGCCATGTCCTTTTGGAACTCGTCAAATTTCCTTTGCAGCACTTCTACGTGCTCCAAATCATGTCCAAACTCATCGGTTGTTACAAAAGCTTCCTTGTCATGAATCCAAAACATCACCTCGTCACACTGACGAATGAACTGTACGAGAACTAAAGCCTGCTGTAACTTCAGACCCTTGTCAGCCAAGCGGGACAACAGTAACTCCCATAGGCGATGTAGTTCCTCTTTAAATAATTAGGTATATTACATTAGATATAAACAAATCAATTTACCACATATTCAATAAAAATGAGCTTTTTCTATTAAAAATATTATACCAAAGCATTATTTAAGGACGCAACAATTTGAAAATAATTTATAGTTTGTATAAAAATCTAGTTGTAAATATTAAATTCATATTTTTGCAAATAAATAAAAACTTGACAGTATATTTGATAGATAGTATATATTTTTACAATATATTCAAATAATCGATAAGATAAATTAATATCTCTAGTACTTGACGTACCCAATCTTTTGCGAATTACATCGCTAGCAAAATGATGTTGCGCAATCATTTCAGAACCGGTATTATCGAGCAGCACAATAGCGTTTGAATGAGCAGCAACTTCTGCTTCGAAGGCCTGATGCTTCTGAATCTTTGCCTGTAGATTGGTCGGATCCTTGTAACTTTCGTCCGATGCCGCCTGGAGTTTCTCGTAGATCCATCCCTCGAGTTCGTCCGCATCTCGCTTAAAATACTGAAAATCAATGAGCAAAAATGAGTGTCGGGACGTCAGCTGTCAAACGTCAGAAAATTATATGTCGATCATCGAGGACCAAGTGGAAGAAACGTACTTGAAAGCGACGGGAGTCCTCGAGCTTGTCCCGCTTGTTGCGCGCCTCTGCCTTGAAGTTGGCATATCGTCCCAGAACCTGCTCTCGTCTCTCCTGGATGTCCTCAGGATTCTCAAGAATCTTCACCTCCTTAGGCGTAATCTGGTCCATGGCTGGACGAAGTAGCCCACCGACTACTCGTGTACAAAATGGCCACTGTGGGGTGTGGCAGGATCAATTCCGTCGTCGGAATCGATAATTGACGTTTCGCGCAGCCACTGACAGATCGTCGAACTTATGCGCAGCCACTGACAGGTCGTCTGGTCGATAATGCGAAAGAAACGGCAGTCGAAGGATTCGTATAGTTCGCGTGAAAATTCGTTCCACCTCGTTCGCCGCGATTGACGTTCCACGGCCCGACTGTCCCACCGGATTTCACACTTCGTGCGTTCTCGGAGAAGGTCGGAAACGTTCGGGTGGCCGAATAAACGATCAGTCAAATTCCGCGCCAATAGTGGCGATGACACAATCGGCCGGCTACTCGATCCAGTTATAAATAACTGTTGCGTCACATTTTACGAGATATATATGTAATTATCTATCATTATCAGAGATTTCATATGGCTATTATTGGGCTCAACTTTTTCGCGCGACTTTGATTTCTGAATATTGTCTACTATTTAATTGTTTTACTGCGCTCTTAGAAACTTTTTTAATTTTGTATTTCAAATTAAATTATTATTTTAGACATGATAATTTTCTTTCTTTGCATTTCTATTGTAATCTAATTTACTAATCGATTGTTTCTCTTTGATTTAAATTTGCGATGATTAAACGCATCGCGAAGAAAACCGCGCGAAAGAAGAAAAGAAAAACAAGACTACAAATAGATATCTGCAAGTAGATATTTCCTTTACTAAAAATATTTCAATTTTTTCTCTCTTTCTCGGGCAAATCTACATATATGACCAATATGCTTAATTGATTCTATCTTTATATATTTATTATTATGTGCTATTAATCAAAACTGCGCAAATTAATAATTCAAAATAGAAAATATTCAAAAATCGCGCGAACGTCGAGCGCAGTAATGATCATGCGCAGAAACGAATGCGCACCGGTCGGCCGCCATGTTAGTTACGTCTCATTGCATACGTCATAAGTGAAGCGGAGTCACGCGCAGTTACGCGGATCGTCGTACATCTGCATTTTTCGCGTCTTTTAACCGTAATTAAACGAATATCGCGAGTGAACGAGCGTTGAGAGTGTCCAAGGATGATCGCGCGACTTTCATAATACGTCGATGGAAGCGCGCAACAGCTGTTTTTGATAGTATTCAGTGATGGCGTCTTCGCGAAGGTGGAGCGAAGTCGCGTCGCGTTATTCGCGTCTTTGATGATGATTATCGGATGCGAGCGAGTATCGGGAGTGCCGAATAAAGTGTCGCACGTTCGCGTTGATGATATCGTGTGAGTTTGTGTGCATCAAGATCGGAATGCGACATCCCGAGGCGAGCGAATGGAGCGGCCTGTGGAACAGCCAGTGAGTCGATTTGATTTATCATATTTGCGTGACAATTCGTGTTCATTCGACGCTTATACAGCATCGCGATGTCTCGAATTAAGTTCGGGCAAATCGGCGCCGCGTCATAATTCGATGCGACGCGATGCAATTCAAATAAAGTCTATCGCGTGAAGATGGTTAGGCTAGAAGCGATTTGAAGTTTATCTTGTATACGCGCGCAGTGCTTGCACAGGGATCTTGTAGGGATGCCAATCGTCAAACGATAAATTTTTCGATTTAACCTAACCTAACCTAACCTTACCTCTGTCTTCAGATGTCGATGTAAACACGAGCATATGCTGCGTGGATTTTACCATGCTTTTAAAAATAATATTATTTAATCATTAATGTAATACATTTTATTACGTAGTATATTAATCGTATTAAATGTTCGATGTACAGTTTAATGAGGAGCATGTAGTATAATTGATTAGGTTAGATTAAATTAATCAAAACAAGCTGATGTTATGATGCATTAACGTAATAATGTTAATATGACGAATGTGCAGCTATTGAAGTTAAATGATATTTGTGGACACAGTTTCAAAGTAATCATGAGTGCCGTATCTCAATTACATGAAACTAAAATACAAAATATTTATGTATTTCACATATTATAACAATTATATTATTAACGTTAACAACAATTATATTATTAACGTTATTCATTACAAGTACTATATTACTTTTCTTATATCTCAATCGTATTCAACCACATTATTTCATCGATGAAGCTTTTCATGTATCACAGACAATATGATACTGTGCGTGGAATTTTATGCAGGTAATATATGGCATAAAAATAATTTACTCTTAAGTATTGCGCGCTATTCTCAAAAATAAATCAAATTAAATTATTTTCAGTAGAATCCAAAAATCACTACATTGCCAGAATTGTATCTTATTACTGCGATATTATGTACAATATTACATATATAAGATTGTATAAATTTATTTGGGACATGCCTAAATCCTTATCTTATTTATAATATCATAAAAGAAAATTGCAAATCTAATGAGACAGAGTAGTGGAATAATTTGATTGATATTTATGCTGGCCTACAATATTAGCCTTTTTCTACCATTTCTACTTTTGATGCTTTTTTTGTTATACAGATATTATATCTGTAAATATATAGTACTTGTAATGCTGTTTCTGCACCAATGTAAGGACACAAAAATGATAGCACATTTGTAGGTAATTACATTATATTTATATAAAGATCATAAGAAAGAGAAAATAAAATTCAAGTTGAAACGAATTAAAGTAATATAAAAGTTTAATAGCTGTACTTGTTCGTCAAATAAATTATTTGGCTTGGGTTCCTTACTGTAGAACATGTGTTAGATATTTGATAATAGGATGGAACAAACAATCTCACAATGAGTACTCGATACTCCATTGCACTTTCTGTAAGTAAAATCAAAAAGTTTTAATGCGCATATCATAAGCATTTGAAGAATTAATTAATGGTGATAAAAGTTTGTTTTTATATGTTGTATTTGCTATATTTCTGAAATATTATGCATATTAATATCCAAGCATAAAAAAAAGCATTATATTTATAATTCTACAAAATATAGTTGCGCAAACTAATATCACTAAAATTGCTCGTGCAAAGAAATAAAAAATTAAATCGATTAAAATTAGAAAATTTAGAAATATTTTCTGGAATAGGAAATTAAAAAATCACACAAATATATGTATATATATATATGTATATATATATATATTATGATACAATAATCTTTTTTATTAAATTTCACCTACAAACAACGAATCACAGAACGTTACATTAGAGTTCCTTACAGTCAATCCATCGTGTTTTCGTATTTTACAGGTAAATAATTATGTATTTATCTCTATTACAATAAAGTCTTATTTGTTAAAATATCTCGTAAAGAGTGTGTAGTGTGTGGATCGTTATGTATATATATAAATTTAATTTACCTAAAAATAGGATTTCTGTTGTATAGTGTCCATTCATTGTTTATAAGTGTCTGTATCATGTATAGAAGTGGTATACTATAGGTACTTTTTTTGTCTATTGTACTCTCTGATATATCTTGTTCTTTTATCATTATTATTATATTAATAATATTATTAATGTTATTACTATTTCCCGCCAATACATTGTATTCAAAGTACGATAAAAGTCGCGCCACGTACTCCAAAGAACTCTGATAAAATTACAAAATTTAATTCTTCATAAAACGATGCTAGGTATGTAAAGAGGTTTAAGTACCTGGACAAAGTGACGGTTTACGATACAAATCGCTAGAACTTTTTATATGCATCTTTTTTTTGTTAGAAGGCAACACGTCTTTGTTAATACGAGAAGGCAATTTGCTTTGTATCATCGGTATGTCTGGTGTCCCCCGAAACGTTGATCAATCTAACTAGCACCGCGCACTCGACTCGAAAAGACTCCGATTCGAGCGATAAATGCCGAAGGGACCGTTTACAGGCATTATTGGCAGCACTGGATCACTGTTCAAATATGTACTGTATATCTTTTTTTCGTTTCATCGAAATATCCCGAGGCTGTAATGCAAAATCGGCCTGTGACACGCGTTACGTTTTACCATCGCGCGTGATCTGTACAACTCTTCGTTTCCTTTCCTTTCACCTTCCTCGTCGTATTCTTTCTCTCGCGGATAATTCTCGCGAGGATAACCGGCAACATTCTTTCTCCCTTAAACATATATATCTCTTTGCGACGATTCCTCTTTATGTACAAAAACTTAGGGCTACGTAGGATACACTCGCATTCGCGCGCGTCACGCGTCCCGGGGCGCCAATAAGTTAAATTTTACTCTAGGGTTACGCGCTTTATTATTACGCGCCCCGGGTGGGCTTCCTCTCTGTTGTACGTGCGACGTCTCCGATCAGTCTGAGCATGCGAGACCAGAGCAATGTATGTGTGCGTTGCGATGACTGCGACTAAAAAGAGGGGGCCGAACGCGATCGGCAAACGCGTCCTCAAATGTATAAAATTCATCCCCGATCTAACATCGGGGGGAAACGGTAAAGAGTAGAACGATTTCGAGGGAGAGACGTCGCGGGCGCACGAGACGGTTAAGCTCCCTACGCGTGTCGCCGGGTGTGACGACAAATCTCATAGAGATACATTTAACTTTGCTCCATTTTTACTACATAACATATAATATATATATTTATATAATATATATAATATATTCAATATAATATATAATTTTTCTTACTAAAGGTAAATTCTTTATATCTATATACACAGAGATATAATATAATGTCTGTCTCGATAATCTTTATACGAATCAGTAACACTAGGTTTGCTAAATATTGTTGGACCTCGGTGTGTGTGTATGTGTGTATGTATGTATATTAGCCAGCACCTTGCGTTGTTGAGCCCCTCGGCTCACGAATCGAAAGGGCCAATCCCTTCCGCTTATACTTAAAAAAATATAATGTGTACCCCTCCCTGAGCTCGCTCCGTGAAACGCTATCGAGAGACGCTGCCTCTCATTCTTTCGCCGTGCTCGTTTCTCGTCTCTTTTCCTCTCCTCTCGCTACCATCATCCATTCACAGCCCTCATTTCGTTACATTTTTGTTTTTTTGTTTCTCTAAACTTTCCTCCGTTTTCGTACGTTTACCATTTACATGGATATAACGCGCATAACAAATTCCTTAGGTAACACACATATATAAACGTCTAATATACAATAAATAATTTATATATATTTTTCGAATGTACAATTTTCCTTTTTTCCGATGTTTCACGCTTAAGTAATTTGTCCACGGCGTCCTTCCACAAAAAAAGGTACATCCCGAGATAAAATCTTTAGTTTCCTCTTCTCGACGCTTTAAAAACTAAATTTTGTACAAATTTCAACGATTTGGGCGCCGCCAATCACACGATGCCGATCCCGTCTCGATCCTACGCGATATTCGGACACACGAGAAAGAAACGGACCGCAGGAGGAGGACGAGGTACTGGGTCGGGACCACCTCCGACGACGTCGCGTCATCCGGCGCCTTAATATACATTTACATAGGTATAATACAAGGAACAAACAAAGCCAGAGGGAAAGAGAGAAGTATAGAAAGAAGGACACGTGTAGAGAGAAAAATAGAGAAGCAAGGTGGGAGAGACAGAAGAAGAGAAGAAGAAAGAGAGGGAGAGAGAGAGAGAGAAAGATATATGAAGTGAGAGGGAGAGGGAAAAATGCATTTTACAACGTCTGAGGGGTGTGCCAGATTGGCGCGTCTCGGCGGGAAGAATCGCTGGACGGCGTTTTTTCGCGTGGATGAAATCCCACGACGGGCCCGTGACGCCGCAACATCAGCAGCGATGACGGTAACGACGATCGACGTCGAGTTCGCGTCGAGACGCCGCGTTGCCGCCGCAGCAGCAGCTCCTTTTCCTCGTCCACCGCGGGACGGGCCGGCTCCCTGTTTCATGCGCCTGTACAATCGATCTCGACGATGTCCTTCGGCACCTCGACGAACTGATAGACCAACCGCTGGCCGTCCACCTTTGCGAGAATACCACGCTGATAGTAGTAGCGCAGAGCCCTCCCCATCGTCTCGTAATTCATGTCCGGTTTGTTCTTGTGCAGGCCCCAAAGACGCGAGACCGCCTTGCTGTCGACCAGCTTGAAGACGCCCCGCTCGCGATTCGTCCACTTGATGTAGCGCGGACAGTATTCCCGGTCCTGCAGTAGCTTGAGGAGGAACTCCCACAGGTACGTGGTCGAGCCCTCGCGCGATTTCCGCTTCACCGCGGCGCCGCCGCCCTCACCTTGACGCGGCTTCTTCAGTTTACTTTTCTTCGAGCGCGGCGGGAAGCCCAGCTCGAGAAGATAGAGGTCGTCCGAGACCGAGCTGGTGGCCGCTTGGATCACGCTGGTGGGCACGCCGCCGGGTCCCCGCGGCGGGCTCGGGGTGCAGGGGGTCGCGAATTGGCCGCCTCCGCCATACATGGAGTTCACATAGTTGTTGTAGCTCTCGGACACTGGAAAAGAAAAAAGACCCGCGGTCAGAAAAAATCTCCATGTTATTTATACTAAGTTTTATCTATATAATTTACAACTATTAATCTTTCGCGTAGATATTTAATTACGAGCTTGATATAATTAATTTACTTGATATCTTGTAAGCATTTAAGGATGTTTTGTATGTACAATCCCAGCAAAAAGTAGCTGAAAATCAATATTGACGAATATCTACTTTTGGTATATTTTGAGTATAAGAAATTGTGTGAAATATTACAATTTGATCTTAACTACAGTGCAGAGATGTATTTTTTATTGCGTTTTTACTGAAATATTCCGAATTTTGTTAATCGAAATGATTAACTTTTGGCAGAGAATTTCGCCTTGTGACATGGATACATGGTAACTTCATTAGAAGATATTAAATATAATTTAAAATATATTTAAAATAATTTAAATTTAAATTATATTTAATATCTTCTTAACCAGTTAATACTTGTATAATATTATTTGACCAAATATTTCCTCTGTATCTAAACTTTTGCAAATCTTAAACAAATTCTGAATATTATTTCATGTGTTTTTGTCACTTGAATCGACGTGGTTATACGTTTCCCATAAGAACACATGTTAATTCGGTGCAAATTAAAATCCTTATAACTTGCGAACGCTTTAGCGAATCGATTTAAAAATTGTACTGAAGATTCTAAACATATGTAAGAACACTCTGTACAATTTTCAGTAAATTCTCAATATTTTGAAAATAGATACAAAACATCCTTAATTACATCTCGCGGCATCTCTGTAACATATCCCATACAGCAAAAAATATTGCAGTAATATTGCGGCAATATTGCAATGTTACAACAACATTAATAATATCGCTGCAATATTCTGTGCTGTGTGAGATGGAACCTATGCTTTATCGCGTTCATTTATACGAAAGAATCAATATTCTTTGCAACATTGGGAGATGACTTCAGCATCCTACAAAACAAGTCTACTCTGCGAGGAGGAACCCTTGGAGAGACACGCTTGAATCGTATATCGAATAAATTCTCGCCACAAAGTAGCGCTATTATCTCGATTCGCGGCGCATGGTCGGAGTCGGCGTTTATCGAGTTAGATTTTCACGTCGCGCGGCTTAAGTACGATACGTCGCAGTTGAATGAAGCGTGCAATCAAGTATTAATAGCTTCGTCGTTGACGAGGCGAAAGAGGGAAATCGTTGTCGTCGATACCTCCGTCGTTCAACGTCACCCATTTGATCCACAAGCCCGACACTTTGGATATCGCCAACCTGTTTCCCACGTTTGCTCCAACTCTAAATCATTCATCCCCCCCGTCTCTCCCTCCCCCCTTAAAAGTTGAGGGAGATTCTGTTTACGACGAGCGTTGCCGCGAGAAGCTGAAAATTCGCGTTGTTGTTCGCGACATGTGCGGCTCGATGGGGAGTAGATCGGCGCGTAACGTCGATCGCTACGATCGTATACAGACACAGTGCGAGTGCACACGATCTGAGTTTATGCCGCGAGCATAGGGCCGTGCGTTCTCTCATGGGCGTAGGGACAACGGCGTCGGATGTTCCTCTCCGAGGATGAGATTCGCGAGTCTCGCTCCGAAGCGCAATTTGTCTCTTTGTCTCCTCCAAAAAACAATCAGCCTTCGGTAATTTATTCTTTTGAAAATTTAATAAATAGAAATAAATAAATAATAAATAAAAGCGTCTCTTGTGTAGAAAAATTGTACGAGACTAGATAGCTTTATTACGTGAATCTACTTGTATATTTCGACGTCGATCGCAAGGGAAATTATTGTCATATGTTTTGGAAATATGACTGTCCTTGAAAATATTATTTATTATTTTATTATTATTTATTATCCATTAATCCTTGCATTTCGGCTTAGGATAGACTTCCCGTTCAATACATCAATCTTTACGATATATATACTTATATTTATACCCATTTTATTTTCCTTGAAAATATTAATCTAATATTTCGAGAGATTAGCGTGAAAAAAGATTTCTGAATTTTATACATTAAATATTTTGAATACTTAAAAAAGAGAAGGGGCATTAAACGATAAATGACGAAAGTTTTGATGAATTTTCTGACATTATACGTGCAGTGCATCGAGAACGACTAGAGTTTATTGCAAACAAATAAAAACTGGTTTGTAAGCTACTTTGCTATAAATATAATATTTCTTACGATACGGAAAACGATTGACTTTATTGCGCGAAGGCTGTGGATTTTATAGAGCAAACAATGAGCATTCGCGAAAAGATATCGCAGATTATGGCCGAGAGCGAAAGTTTCGAAAAGATAAGTTTCTCTGAATAAATCTCGCATCTTTTACGTCACTCGGATGCGTAGATACCGCGTGTGTCGCTTTTATAGGAAAAAAGAATTCTCGACATTTAACACACACGCACGTAAATATAAATACAAAGAATATATATATATATATATATATATATATATATATATTTTTTTTTTTTATATATTTATATATAATATATGCATGCACGTATGTCAAATGAGGATCCGTTTCTTCCTAAATAAAAAATACATATATAAACAACATTGTACCACATTGTGCGCCGCGAAAAAGGAAAGTTTTAAAGCCGCCGAGGGATAAAATCTCGCATTCTTTATATCGGTTGGATGAGACGCGAGGCATACCAGTGCCTCGTCTCGCGTGATTCTCTCTCTCGTAAGAAAAAAAAAATTCCCTCACATTTGACGTACTATATTATGCTGCAAGAGAGCAAAAGTTTCGAGGCTGCTGGCGAGGCAGGAGAAACGTTTCCCTTACGCCACTGGCCCGAGAGGAAGAGGAGACGGGCCGAGATAAAGAGACGACGAGCAAGAGAGAGAGAGAAAGAGAGAGAGAGGGTTAAGCGGAGTCGAGCGAAGCACGGGAGAACGAGACGGAGGAGAGAGAGAGGAGGGAGGGGGAGCGGCCGGGGGGAGGGGGGAGGGAATCGGGGGAACTCTGCCTGCAGTATGATAGAGGACTGACCCGAGCCAAGGTTGCACGGGTGACGCCATCAAGCTACTAGTGCATAATAGCGCCGCTCGTTCTGAGGCCGCCGCGACTGCGCTAAAATCGGAACTCGTTCTCCGGCCCCCTCGCGCATTCTCCCTCCCCTCCCTTTGCCCCGCGGTCACCCTTCCCCCGCCGTCGCGTCGGCTCTCACTCTCTCTCTCTCTCTCGCTCCCGACCTCTCTCTCTCCGCGCGCTTGCATCCTACTCTCGCGTTGTGCGTTGCAGTTCCGTGGAGAGACCCCGCGCGGTTGAACGATTCTTGGGGTTCTATTCGAGGTTTTCTGGTTTGAAGCGATGAGACGAGAGAAAGAGAGAGATGGAAAAATATTTAGCGTTCTGTGAAGCGATATCTTCCCCGAGAGATGCAGCGGAAAAGTATACAAGCGATCACATGTACGAAATAATGGCTCGATGCGATATTTTGTATGGCATAAAGTACTTCGAAGGATACCTTGAGAATTACACGAAATGGATAGATATGAAATAAGTGTACTCGTGTTATAAATAAAAAAAATTCCTGGAAACAATGAAATCAAACTTTATACGTAGAAAGTAATAGCGGATTAGTTGTATAAAGCGAGGAATGTATTAAAGCTATTAAAAGCGACAATATTTTACGACGATATACAACAAAGAGATATTTATTCGATTTCCCTTTCAGACGCGGTAACACATAAATTCCCCAAGGTATCTCTCTCTAATTCGTAATATATGGATATAACATAACACGCGGAAAGAAAGAGAGACGGACAAGATTTCAATAATCGAGAGCCGCGGTATAAATAGTACAGGAAAAACCGAGCAAAAATTTCGAGAAGAAGAGAAGAGGGAGAGCGAGAAAAAGACGAAAGAGGAGACGACGAAAGAGGAGAGGATAGCCAGAAGATTTCGAGGTGACTCCAAAAATATATGAAGAACGCACCCCGTTGTTCTCGAGAAGTGTATTCACGAAGCGATGGAGCGCGCGAGAGAAACGAAAACAGAGAGAAAGAGAGAGAGAGGAAACGAGAGAGGAAGGCGGTAGAGGCCCGAGAGTGCGAGAACAGCTGGAGCGGATCGTGTTTACGCGCGGTATGACTGGCTAGATGAGTCAATCGTAGACCCGTTGTCTAGGAGTCGCCGCGGGGTGGGGGAACCGCTCCTACTTCACTGACCTATACCACGAGCGTTGTATAGCGCGAGGAAAGCACCGCTAGAGACGACGCATCGCCAGCCGATGAGTCTGGTGCGCGCGAAGACCGGATAGAGAGATTCCTAGAAGTCTAGGTGGCCTCTCTAGGATCGATTCAAGCGCGTAACTCGAGAGACAGGCGTGCGCGATGCATCTATCTACGATTTAAGCGCGCGATCAAATTCTAAAGCGGGCCTGAGTTCTCGCAAAAGACGAATGCGTAGAAGTTCCTGAGGATCGAGGAGATTGATAATCGAAAAGGACGAGTGACAAAATACAGGAATTAGATTAGTTCCAAGATTGAGGAATTAAGAGGGATACAATGAAAAATATCGATAATTTCAATAATTTGAAGTTTGAAAATTAAAGACGATGATATATACACACACATGTACAGAAAAAAAAGATATTCTTGTTTTGAAAATATATTTAGTTTTAACATGGAAATTTTGAAATGAGATTATATTGCGTTAATTAAAGAAAACTATAATTGCTTACTTGAATGAAGCCATTTTATATAATTCAATCAAGAAAAATATATTCTTGTGATTTAAGATTTAATTTTCTTGAATGGAAAAGAAACAATGTTAGATAGAAAATAACATTTTTAAAGCAAAGATAATTACTTATAATTACTTATAATTTTCTTAAAGTTACTTATAATTTTCTTAAAGTAGAATTAAATAATTGTATATCCTTAAGGTGACAATTACAATATTAAAATAAGACTATAATATTGTTAAAATTTAAAATTATTAAATTCTTCTAAAAAGATTATAAATTGTTGCGTATATA